TCGACATGAACAAAAAAAGTACATCAAGGTGATATCTCTGTTTATGTAAAGAATGTAGACTTAATTTTTCTAAGGCAAAGGAATAGTTAGTTAGTTAGCTATTGGAGAGGGTGGGTTTCCCCATGCACTTAGACCAGTATTGGTCCATTGTGCTTCCCTCTCTGATATTCTACCAGTCTCTATACCCTACTGATATTGGTGCGTACCATCAGTCCCGACCGAGCCAGCGAGTTCGGCCTCTACTGGCTTGGCAGTATCTATAATGCTTCCCCCATCTATCAGAGGTGTTAGAGACTACTGTTGTTTGGAAAATGTCCTTGAATTTGGCTCAGTGACCTCCTTTGGAAATATGAGGTTCTTTTACGTGCCGTAAAGCTACGACATGGGACCCACGGCTTAAAGTTCCTCCCAGAGGACTTGTTCCCTGAATTTTTCCGCCCTTAAAAATTCCGCGACCTCCACCGGGTTTGAATCCGTGTACCACGAGTCATGAGGTGGGAACGTTACCTCTAGACGACGGAGGCCGCTAAGGCAAAGGAATAACTAAAAGGAGCATGAAAGGAAAAGCAATAGAAGCAGATGGATGCGCTCAAGCTTGTTGGCATTGGTAGACGTGATATAATTCCTGACTACTGAGGCATATTCCAACTTGTACCTGACTAATGTGAAGTACAGCACATGTAAACAGTCCAGGGAAGAAAATCTTAAGGTTATGGAGTGAATAAGCTTTGTGCATTCAAAAAATAAGAAATCAACATGGGTGTTAAAATAGGATTTTGAACTGAAGAAAATACTTAGGCCATTAATACTGTTGGTGCATATAATGGTAGCATAGCAAAGCGTTTTAGGAGTATTAAGTCAAATGGAGTTAGCAGTGCACCAGTCGCCCATGGAATTGTCATTTTAGTTGGGGCAATCATGTAGAGTGTTAACGAAATGGATGATTTTGATATCATCAGCAAAGATTATGAAAAAAATGAAAAAACACAGGTCATTAATGAATACATTGAAAAGCAAAGGCCCAGGACAGAGATGCCTTGTTATCATTGCTTTTCAGCTTTTCTTTGGAATATGTCATTAGGAGGGACCAAGAAAACAAGATGGGAATGAAATTAAATGGGTTACATCAGCTTCTGGTCTATGCTGATAATGTAAATCTATTGGGAGACAATATAAGAACCATAATGAAATACACCAAAACTGTTGTAATCGATGCTATTAAGGAGGTTGTCAAGAAGTAAACACAGAGAACAAGTACATGCTAATGTCACACCTTCAGAATGCAAGGCAAAATCATAGCATAAAGACAGTTGATACATCCTTCGAAAATATAACAAATTTCAAACATTAAGGGATGACAGTAACAAATCAAACCTGGATTCATGAAGAAATTAAGAGCAGATTGAATTAGGGCAAAAACTATAATTTTGCCTATAGAGTTTTATGGGTGTGAAACTTGATGCCTGACAGTAAGGGAAGAACATAGACTGGAGGTATTTGAGGACAGGATGCTGAGGAAAGTATTTGGCCCAGAGAGGATGAAGCAAGAAGGGGTTCAAGAAAATTGAATAGTGAGGAGGTTTGTAACTTTGTAACTCTTTGCCAGATGTAATTAGAATTATAAAGTCAAGAAGGATGAGATAGGCAGGCCATGTAGCATGCCTGGGGAGCAGAGGAATGCATTTAGGGGTTTGGTGTGAAAGCCAGAAGGAAAGAGACCACTAGGAATATCTAGATTTAGGTGGGTGGACAATATTGAAATGGAACAGAGAGATAGGATGAGATAGGATGGATTGGATTTATGTGGCTCAGGACATGGATCAGTAGAGGGCTCTTGTTAACATGCTAATGAACCTTCAGGTTCCATCAAATATTGGGAAATTCTTTAGTAGAAGTGACTGGTATTATATTGTATTGTATTGTATTGTATTTATTAGCATTCATCGATCCATTCAGGTACTTGACCATTGGATATAGAAATTGGTGGCTTCTCAAGAAGGACTGAGCTCCATGGAGTTAGTTTTATTACAGTTGCTTTTATCAGTCTCACTTTACTCACAATTATGAATTGATTCTAGAGTACGTGTCATTCCAGATAATTGTATGTTATTGCTTTATTAATTTAGTGTCTGCAATGGAAAAAAGAACATTCATTTCAACTTGAAAACTGTTAGTCTTTGTGGAGTAGTTACATTAATTAGAGACCTTTCCAGTTTTACCGAAAGCAGTAATGTTGAGTCCAGTCCTTTGGGCAGGTGTACCAGTGCTACTAATAGGATATGTCTGTTTTTGATGCTTTTAGTAGAAATACAGATCTTTAGAGGATATTTTTCCTTTGTTCAATCCTAGTTCATTGCTATTTTTTCTTTTTATTTAATTGATTTTGTTTATATTATTTTTGTGTATTAACTGCTTTTACTGTTTTAAGCCACAGTTGTTGGCAAGCACAGTAATAAATTAATTGAATCATCATTAATTCATCATTATTATCACCACTGTCATTACCACCACCACCACCACCGCCACCGCCGCCGCCGCCGCTACTGCTACTGCTACTACTACCACTACCACTAACACTAACACTACTAACACCACCACAATACTACTACTACTACTACTATGTCCTCCTAAATGATTATTCAATACTGATTAATTTTAAACCCCTTGCACCCTAATATAAATTATACACTGCATGAAGTGGCAGCAATATTTAAGTGACCAGAGGACTGAAAGTAGTTTAAATGGGCTGACAAGTCAAGAGTTGTGATTAGTTGTTTGATTTTAAGCTGTCTTTGAGTATGTGTCCAATCAACTGACATTGATAACTTGAGCATCTAAATTATATATATATATATATATACAGTCAACTCTTGATTATCCGGGGGCGGATTAACCGGTTTGCGGCTTAACCGGGGCTACTGAGGCTTTTT